CAGCGAGGCAGCAGCACGCAGGTCTCTGCGAGCTCGCCCGCGGCTATCCCGAGCCTCGCCTTGGGCAGCCGGTCCGGCCTGGAGCTGGCTTTGCCTTTGAGAAGGGCTCTTTGGAGGAGGCCGTAGGAAAAACAGTTCCCCCTTGCAGGGGTTTTGGGGCCCCAGCCGTCGATCCCCCTGACCGAGTTCACGGACACAAGCCCCTTGCAGGACTGCAAATAGCTCAGAAGACTGGGAATGAGTTTAGGACAGAACCATGCTGCTGGGGGCCTACCAGGTCTCCTGCCCCAGCGTGGCTCTGCTACGTGCCTCAGTTTCCCCTTCTGTAACTGGAGGTGGTGAGACCTACCATGGAGACCTGTCAGTGGCTGCTTGTGGAGGATGCAGCAGATTGCACAAGGTAAAAGAACTGTGTGAAGGCCTCACATTGTTGCAGAGACTAGGAAATGATTGCTGGAGAAGGGAAAAACAAGGGCTAGTGCTCAGTTACATAATGCTCTTCTCAGCTTGGGAAGGAGAGGCGCCTTCTGCTTGGATCCTGGGGAGCTGGGGGGGCGCGTGGGGGGAAGGGCAGAGGGTACAGGGTGTCCTTGTCACCTGGGGACTGCTCCCAGGGGGCTCTGCAGGCACGGGTGCTCTCGCTTCCCCTCTGCACACAGGCATCCGGCATTAAATCACCACGGGTAAAATTAGCAGATGACGCACGGGTGGGTGGCTGGGAAAACCTGGGCCAGGGAGCAAGGTGGGCTGCTGGGGATGAGCTGGGTGCAACTGGCAGCCCAAAGCCTGTACGGCCCCACACTGGCCAGGGGCTGCTGTAGCACCCTGAGGCCTCTTGTTATCATCTGGCACAAGCAGAGGCAACGGTGGCTGGGCGCAGATGTGGGATGCCACAGGGGTGCCTTGAGAAGATCTAAAGCCCCTGGAGAGCCAGGGCTGGGAGAGGGGCTGGCAACTGGTGCCTGCTAAATTTAGAGCCCATTTCGGGGGAAAAAAAAATAAATTTTCAGTCTCCAAATTTAGTTGGTGGCAGCTCCCACCGAGCACTGCTCCATCCTGCTGCTGCTGCATCGTGCTGCCTTTCCCATCCCTGCACCCCGAATCGGGCACCTCCTGTTTGGAGTCCCTGAAGGTGGGGACCCTGCACCTGGCCAGGAATTGGGGAACCCCAGTGCACCGCAGGACCAGCTGAGCATTTCATCACCAACTTTATTTGAGGTGAACCCAGAGAAGTACAGGGCAATGCACGCTCTGCTATGGACACCATTTCCATGCAAGCAACCACGGCTACGCACACGGCAGGACGGGACTGGCACTGAGCTGGGTCCCTCTGGGAATGGGACTGCCCAGTATGGCACCAGCTCAGCCGGGCACTTGCGTGCTGGCCCTGGTGCCTGGGACTGGAGAGGGTGTTTGGGGGCTCCTGCTCCATCCCGTGGGCTTTGGGGGACAAATGGGGCTGAGACAGAAGACACCAAGGGGGATAGAGGGTGGTTCAGAGCCTCGCATGCCTCTCCTTGGAGCTGGGGACAGCTGGGTTGGCATCTCAGCCCCTCCAGGTCCCCTCCTGGGCTGGCATCTCAGCCCCTCCAGGTCCCCTCCTGGGCTGGAGACCTTTGCAGCAGGGTCTCCTCCCTAAGAAGAGGTTGTTAGCTGCTAGGCTCATTGAACCTGGATCGAAGCTGCAACTCCCTGGGTGAGGGGGCGTGGCAGGGGCCTTCCCACTGATCTTCAGAAGAGGATGTCTCTGTCGCAGCCCATCACTTGGCAGACCAGTGCTGGTGTGTCGTCGTCCTGCTGGCCCAGGGTTGAGGCCCTGGGCTCCCCGTGCCCTGCAGGGCACTTGTCTGAGTGCTCCCTTCTGGCTCTGAGCTCAGACAAGCACTCCTCACCCCTGGCATGCTGTGGGACCCATGGGTGCAGGTCTGGGCACGGTGCCCGCTCGCTTCCCCTGGCTCCACCACCAGCAGCAGCAGACCACAGCAGAGAGACCCGAGCACTGCTCTTTGCCCAGAGCCCAGCAAACCGTGACTGGAGCACGGAGCAGCCTGTGGGGAAAACCATTGCCTGCTCCAAACAGACTTCTGATTGGAGCCCCGGGATAAAACCTCAGGCTGAGGCCAAGGGGGCAGGGAAATGGGAGCCAAACCTCCTGCTCTGACCACTGCTGACCTTGTGTGTTGTCATCCCCTGGGTCAGACCCACTGCCCTGCCTGCTGGCACAGCTCTGGACACAGCTGAGGTTTCAGTCTTTCACCTCCCCAGTCACAGGGGCTGCAGGGCACAGCCAGGGAGGGGCTGGCCAAACGCAGGCTGCTTGTCCATGGGATCCAGGGTTTATTTGGCCTAGCTCCCACCCACTTTCACCTGGCTACCCATTAAAGGCTGCCCCAGGGGATGATGACAAGGAGGAGGGTGGATTGACACGCTGCAGCTGGAGCATGCCCACATAGGCAGGTCACAGCTTAAGCTGCAGCAACCTCTGTGCCTGCTGGCCCAGCCTGGGCTCACTCACCTTCTCCCCGTGCTACAGGGGAGCTCCCTCCCCATGGCTGCTCCCAAAACTTCTCTCCAAGCCCTTCCCTGGGCAGTGTGTTGCAGCAAGCACCTGCCCCCAGCTCGCCCGTGCCCTGCCCGGTGCTGGTGCCAAGGGCAGGAGGAGAGGGAGCCCCCAGGAGCATCCTCTGGCACCTTGGCTGAGAGGGACGAGTGGGCTGCAGGACCCTGGAGTGCAGCTGCCTCCTTCCACGTCAGCAGAGCCCTACAGCTGCTGGCAGAAATAGCCCCAAGCTGAGGTTTGAATAGGTGCACAGCAGCACGTCCCTGCCTGCAGAGGATGACGAACGGCTCCCTTTTGGTTCATTGTTCACTCTGAAGCATAATGATGCCAGGGGAAGTTACTGAATGAAGACTGCATTATGAGGAGGGACTGAATGTTAGGTCACTGGGGAGGACAGAGTGGTTTGTCCCAGCCAGGGCTCCCTGCTCTGTGGCAGGGGCATAGCAGGGACAAGCAGTGGTTTTCCTGCCTGCAGCAACAGCCACGGGGTGCACATTACTCCTGGCTTGCTCACAGTGGTGTAAGGGCTTCCACCAGACCTGAGAGAGCTGCCTGGGAGCTGGGGCTGATTTGGGAGCCAAGCATCTCCCCTGCTGCAGAAGGCAGCAGGCGCCTGCAGAAGCAACCAGCAGTCCTTTCTGTGGGACAGTCCTGTTGACTCCTGTCTCCTGGGAGAGCTATGAAGTGGGCCCTGCATCCAGACCACTGCCTGCACCACGCATTCATCCATTTTCTGGTCCCCCTTGCATCCTGGGGAGAAACTGCATCCCAGGGTCTCTCCCCACAAGCCTGGTGGGGGATATATGGATGAGTCCACTGAAACCTGCCCATGCACCCTGGCTGAGCTTCAGTAGCTGGCTGGACAAGGAGAAAAGGAACGTGTGTCCCTGTAGGCAGGGCTGGCAGTGGCAGCTGTGAAGCTCCTCAGCTTTGGAGTGGGCCAGTGGGAGACCTGGCTGTGCAGAAACTGATGTGCAACAGCTCTGCCCCACTCTCCACAGACATTCAGGAGCGTTGGAGGCCACTGGGAGAGCACAGGCCTGGCAAAGCACATGGGGACACGTGTAAAAAGGTGGAGGGGACACACTTCCAAAGTGAGAAGAGCTTCTGGATGTCTGTCCCCAGGGTCCCCAGCCCACGGCGCAGGCTGGCAGGCTTTAGGAGGGAGGAGAGTCCATGTGGCAGCCAGCAGAGGAGGGAGGTGGTGTTCCTGTCCAACACAGGCTCATAGAGAAGGTGCTCCAAAGTCCCCCCAGAGTTTGCTAAATAAATACATAAACATGAAGCCCATGGCCAGGGCACGGGGGTTCCCCAGGATCGGCAATTCCCCCTAAAATCCCTTTTTTTCCATTTCCACATCAAAACATGGTCTCCTCCTGCCCATCCTGCCCTCGTCCCCATGGCCTGTCCCGTGCCTCGTGGCTCTCAGGGCCAGCAGTGAAGGCTGGCTTTGCACCTGCTTAAAACCCATCCCAGCAAGGCCAGCTGAAGGTACAGCAGAGGCTGTCTCCTCTAGGCTAAGAACATCTCCCATGTGCCAGGGCTGGTAGACAGAAAGCCAGTGCAGCAAAACATAAAGTGTCCTTCAAGAGGATTAGAAATAAATAAGTGAAGCATGGTGTTTTCTCAGGAACGTGTTCATTTGCCTCTCTGCTGGGGTGGGCAGGGGGATATATTTAAATAAGGGGGGAAAAAAAGCCCAGTCCTAGTGCTGCTCTGGCAAACGAGCTCCCTGTGTGTCGGCCTGCCTTCACCCACTGCTTCCATACCAGCTGGAGAAGACACTTGTGGTGGTTGGAAAGGAGCCTCCGAGACCTTCCCAGGACAAATCATCCCTCCTGAGTTTGGGTGGGTGTTTTCTCTCCCCACTGCAGAGCCAGGGTCTGAGGACTGTAGGTGTGCAGTGCCTCCGGGCCGTGGCTCCTTGCACGTAGCTTAATCTCGGGTTCGGTTTCTCCTTTTCAGGAAAAAGAAGCTGCTTTTCTGTGGGGGGCCCAGCAGCATTGGCACTTGGCTTTTATGTGTAATTTTGACCTAAAAAGAAGTGAAAAACCCAGGTCAGTTTGGGGATCCTAGGCTCTGAACCTCTGTGGGCACCCTGCAGCCCAGGGAGCCTGGAGAGCGACCTGAGCAAACCAGGAGCAGCCCAGCAAAGAGCAACAGGGTGAGGAACTGCTGCCCACCCCCAGCTGGGTTGCTAAATGCTTTGCTGCAAAGGAGTAACAGCTCTGGGATCCCATCCAGGCAGTGCTGGTACAGGCAGAGGATTTCTCTTCCTCTGGATGGTGGGGGACCCCCCTGCAGCCCCCTTGGGAAAGGGATGCTGCTGCACTGCACCCACCTGCCTGGCAAGGGATGAGCATGTCCCTGTACCCACGGCCTCCGTGGTGGCTTGCCATGAGCCCAGGGCCAGCGTGGGTGCAGACAGAAGTCCCAGGTGGCTGGGCTCTGCAGCCACCCAGGAGCAAGTGCAGAAGCCTGCCTCCAACGCCAGGGGCTTGGCCACACTGCACGGGGAGCCCAGGCTTCCAGCCAGCCCCTGCCCACCCCGGCTGCCCCCTCCCCGGGGACTCACAGTGCAGGATGGCTGCATCCAGGGCTCCCCGTCCACTTGCATGGGCAGCAGCTTGGATGTCCTGCAGAGCACGAAGAGAGGGAACACAGGGTAACACAGGCACTGGCTTTTGCCAGCAGGTGGGTGCTCAGCTGGGGACAAATACCTGATGGTGACGGACGAGCACTGGGCCAGTCTCTTCCCAGCACTCTTCAGCCCTGTGTAGATCTGGCCCATCTCCATGGCGCCCTCCAGCCCCACCACCTCCAGGAGCTGGTCGCTGAGGTCTGCAAGAGAGAGGGATCCAGGTCAGTCCCCTCATCCCTGGGGATCCCCCCTGCCTTCTGCCATCATCCAAAACATCAGGCCAGCACGCCAGGGCTGCTGGCTGCCCTGGAGAGCAGTGGGGCTGGTGGCACAGTGGAGATGTGTCCCAATGTCCCCTGTGCCCCGAGACCACCAAGCTGGGCATTTGCAGCATTGGCCAACACTGCTGTTCAAAACCCCTGGGGCAGAAGTATGCCTGGTCTGAAACAGTGGCTGGTCCTTCATGGCTACAGGGTGGCAGCCTGGATCTTCACCAACTCATCAACCACTTGCTTGCAGTGTTGTATGCAATGGTAGCAGAACCTCTCCCAGCTGCCCTGAGGCACGTGCACAGGGGAAGTCTCCCCAGGAGGAACCTGCTCAAAGCCCAGGGCATTGTCCCCTTTTCCAGCTCCTCCTGCTTTTCCAGGCCACCACCAAAGGCATCCAACACCAGGGCAACCTGCTCCATCTCTCGCTCCCTTCAGGGTCCTCTTTCATGCCTGGTGAAAACCCACCCAGGAGAAGCCCCCTGAGCTCCTCCATGCCCTTCTGCCTCCCCACGAGTAGGGATGTGCCCAAAGGACCAACCCTGCTGCCTCTCACCATCCTTTACAGCTGGCCTTTGCTCTGCTCCCTGCTGCCCATTCCCATGGGCTTGCCCAGCAAGGGACAGGGGATCATTGCCACTGGGATGGCCAGTGACACCTCTGTCCTGGAAGCCACGTGCCAAGGAAGCCATTTCCCACCCCAGCTCCAGGCTGTGGGAGGTGGTGGGTGGAAAATACAGGCACTTTGTCTATTTTCCTGTCTGCTTGCTCTCTGCTGGGGAACTCTGCCAGCAGTTTGGGCTACCTGCACTCTGCCTGTGCCCGTGGGGATTGCTCCAGTGGCCACAGCAGTGGGTG